GACTTTAGCAGCAAATTAGGAATGCAACATTTCCCTTAAAAAAGATCAGAATGGGTAAAAACAGCGATTTGCTTGAGCTCTCACCCAAACCCCTCTAAATACCTGTAAAAATGGCTCTAAACAAATTCCAAAGCAGCAGAACCTACAAAAAGACAGAGTGAAACAAATTTCCAGCCCAAGACAACCTAGATGGTTGATTTGAAAGGTCTATTGCACCAGTCTAGTAGAGGAACGCAGTTCAGCATGGGTGTACAGGCAAATCAGGCCTCAGCAAACCTGGAGCAGCCCTCAGAAGACTGAATCATGGGCAGTTGTGGTAGTTTCCAGACTTCTCAACCCATGAATGCCAAAGAGAACTTAGAAGGTCAGTAGGAAAGGTCTGTGACCACGGTGAGAGAGAAGCTAGGTTGTGCTGCCATGGTGGTGGTGGTGGACAGGGAATCTTCCTCACAGTTCCAAGGCAAAAAAGAGTGCTTATGGTCACTTATAGACCAGAGCACAGGCCAGGAAAGAAGTAAATACCTCACCCTTGATCGAACCACCTTGGAAGAACTGAAAATTTGCAGGTCCCTAGAAGTATCTCTAAAAACAGCTGCACGACCCCCCCCAAAGCTTGGTACAGTACATTCTTCACACTGGAAGCAGACCCCCTACCTTAGCAAAGAGTTTAAAACTCAAGTAATTGGCTGGGATCATGAGCAAACTGCACAAAAAGTCAGACTATAGAATCTTTCTTTGGTGACAAAGAAGACCAAAACATACAACCAAAAGAAGACAACAAAGTCAAAACTCCTACATTTCAAAGCCTCCAAGAAAAATATGAATCAGTCCCAGGAAGAGCTCAAAAAGGATTTTGAGAAGCAAGTGAGAGAAGTAGGGGAAAAACTTGGAAGAGAAATGAGAGTGATGCAAGAAAATCATGAAAAACAAGTCAACAGCTTGCTAAAGGAGACCCAAAAAAGTACTGAAGAAAATAACACCTTAAAAATAGCCTAGCCTAAACAGGAAAAGTGGTCCAAAAAGCAAATGCGGAGAAGAATGCCCTAAAAAGCAAAATTGGCCAAATGGAAAAGGAAGTCCAAAAGCTCACTGAAGAAAATACTTCCTCAAAAATTAGAATGGAGCAATTGAAAGCTAGTGACTTTATGAGAAATCAAGATATAAAACAAAACCAAAAGAATGAAAAAATAGAAGACAATGTGAAATGTCTTATTGGAAAAAACAACTGAGCTGGAAAATAGATCCAGGAGAGAGAATTTAAAAATTATTGGACTATCTGAAAGCCATGATCAAAAAAATAGCCTAGACATCATCTTTCAAGAAATTATCAAGGAAACTGCCCTGATATTTTAGAATCAGAGGGCAAAATAGAAATTGAAAGAATCCACCAATCACCTCCTGAAAGAAATCCCCAAAGGAAAACTCCTAGTAATATTGTAGCCAAATTCCAGAGTTCCCAGGTCAAGGAGAAAATATTGCAAGTAGCCATAAAGAAACAATTTAAGTATTGTGGAAACACAATCAGGATAACACATGATTTAGCAGCTTCTACATTAAGGGACCAGAGGGCTTGGAATATAATATTCTGGAGGGCAAAGGAGATAGGATTACAACCAAGAATCACCTACTCAGCAAAACTGAGTATAATCCTTCAGGGGCAAAAATGGATATTCAGTGAAATAGAGGACTTTCAAGCATAATTGATGAAAAGACCAGAGCTGAACAGAAAATTTGACTTTCAAATACAAGACTCAAGAGAAGCATGAAAAGGTAAACAGGAAAGAGAAATCTTAAGGGACTTATTAAGGTTGAACTGTTTACATTCCGCATGGAAAGATGGTATTTGTAACTCATGAGTCCTTTGTCAGTATTAGGGTAGTGGGAGGGAAAAATTATATGTATATGTAAATCAATAGATAGATAAATAGAAGGCACAGGGAAAGTTGAAGATGAAGAGGGTGATATCTGGAGAATAAAATTAAGGGGTGAGAGAAGATTATACTGGGAGAAGGTGCAAGGGAGAGGTAGAATGGAGCAAATTATCTCACATGAAACAGACAAGAAAAGGCTTTTACAGTGGAGAGGAAATGGGGGAAGGTGAGAGGGAATGAGTGAATCTTATTCTCATTGGATTTGGCTTAAGGAGGGAATAACATAAGCACTCAATTGGATATGGAAATCTATCTTACCCTACTGGAAAATAGGTGGGGAGAGAAGGGGACAAGAGAGCAGGGGGATGATAGAAGGGATTGCAGATTGGGGGAAGGGGTAATCAGAAGCAAACACATCTAAGGAGGGACAAGGTTAAAAGAGAGAATAGAATAAATGGGGGGGAGGATAGGATCAAGGGAAATCTAGTTAGTTTTTCACAACATGACTACTATGGAAGTGTTTTGCACGATTACACATGTATAACTTGTATTTAGTTGCTTATCTTCTCAATGAAGGTGGATGGAGAGGGAGGAAGGGAGAAAATTAGGAACCCAAAGTTTTAAAAAGAAATGTTAAAAAATTGTTTTCACGTGCAACTGGGAAATAAGATACACAGGTAATGGGATATAGAAATCTATCCTGCCCTACAGGAAAATTGAAGGAAAAGGGGGTAATAGAAGAGGTGGGGAGATAGAAGGGAGGGCAGATTAGGGGAAGGAGTATTCAGAATGCATGCCATCTTCGGGCAGGGAGAGGGACGAGATGGGGAGATAATTTGGAACTTAAAATCTTGTGGAAGTGAATGTTGAAAAGTAAAAATAAAATAAATTAATTTAAAAAAAAACATGTTTGGCCCCAGAGAAGGGAGGAGAAAAGGCACCTCCCTCTCTTCTTCGTAAAGATAGAGGGCCATGGATATGGGATATTGTCCTCACAGTGGGATTCATTTGATGTAATATTTGTCTCCCCTAATTGAAATGTGAGCTGCTTGACAGAAGGAATTGAATAGCTTTTCTATACGTATCTTTACGGCTTAATACAGTGTTTGGCACCTAGTAAGCAATTAAAAAAATGCTCTTCTATTCCAAAAAAAAAAAAAAGAAGAAGACGAAAATGAATTTAGTTACCTTTTGTTTGTGTTCCAGTACACAAAAACTTTTTTTTCTTTTATGTGAGGTAGGAAAGATTAAGTTCTATTCAACCTGCCTCTCTTTGATCTGAGAGTAAAAGGTTCCCCCTTTCTTTCTTGTCTCTTTTCCCGCATTTAAAATTTGGCCAGAATTGGAATGTAGAGAGAGAGAAAATTTTTACCAACAATTTTCCAGAAGTTTCCAAACTGTTTACTCTCAAACCCTCTGTTCACACAGTCCGTGCAGACAGGTTATGCCTTTCTTTCTCCCCATGCTCCTCTCATTCCTACATGATTAAACTTTCTTGACTTTCCTTCTACCTACCTATCCCTCTGGTGGACTTTGATTAAAGTCCCTTTAAAACTGCACATATCTTATTTCTTTCCAATTCTGATCTGACACTTCTCTTACCTTTCTCGACCTGCCTTTACCAATCATATAACCTAAACAGTAAAATGTTTCTCTCTCTATGTCTCTCCTGTCTCCCCACTTCTCTGAGGCCCCTGTAATCAGGGAGGGAGAGAAAGAAAGTGGAATTCCAAAGTCCAGCTGCAGCCCTTGAATGTTACTCTTGCTGGCTGGCTGCATTTTGAACCCTATAGGGTGTCAGATTACACATAGAAACTCACTCACACCACACAGAGCCACAAATGCAGAACAGATACAGGATACAGGATAATACAGATAATGACAGAGAGAATCCAAAAGCTCAGAGAGTCTTGTCAGAAATCCCCTCCATAAATCAGACAACTTTTTTTTCATGGTCCTCCAGATAGTATAGAAGCCAGGCAAAATATTCCTTTATAAGGTCTTGGAGACTGAGCTTTCTCCAGTTCTGTAAAAGATAACCTGGGGCAGATCCTTGAGTGTAGGGGGGAGGGGAGAATTTGACCATTTCTGTGCCTACATGCCTTAGAGAGAAAGGGAAGGAAACCAATAAGCACCTGTAGCCAGTTGCCTCAACCAGCATCCTGGAGAGGGAGAAAAATGATCTGCAGATGTTCCCAAAAGAAGGCATACTGTGTTAAGAGGGAATTCTGCGAGAGCCTGTTGCAGGTTCAACCCAAAGCCTTTACAAATCTTCCTAGTTGCTTGAAAGGTGACCCAACTACAGGGCAAGGGGAGGGTAGGCTTACGTTGAGTCAGAGAATACCTGAGACTTTAGACAGGCCCCACGTTGAGTGCCAAAAATATTGTGGTCTGAGAAAATATTGTGGTCCCCTCAAAGACCAGAGTACAGGACAGGGTCTTCTGGAATGAATTCATAGACTCAAGCATTCTTTGAGTCAAGGTAGCAAAGACTTATTGTAATGCTGTATAATGCACAAGGATTCTCAAGGAATCTTCCATGGTGGGCAGAGCTCCTTAGGGAACTTGCAACCTGGCAGGACTGATGCTAAAGCTTATATAGGAAAAGTACTGGATTTTGTGCCAAGTATGCTAATTAGGTGATAACATGCAGCTTTGGTCACAGGCATCATTCACACTGGGGATTTCCTAAGGGGTATGTTTTTGGTCTGTTATGTCGGAATAGCTTCAGGAGTTGAAGTCTATAGCTTGACCTCTGGATTGTAAATGGCAACTGTGGGCATCAGTACTTGATACTTCTGCTGGTACAAGATAGTCCTGTTCATAGAAGGGAAATTCTACAGAGGTCAGCTTGTTCTTGTGGCAGGGAGAGATAGTTTGCCTCACTGCTCCCACTCATGAGTTATTGCCAGAGATAGGATTCTTCGGCTGGAGAGAAAACTGTCAAGTATAGTGTTTCTCAGGCCAGAGAGGAATATGATATTGGAAGTGTGGTCTGAGTACAAGCAACCAAAACCCCCATCAAATCCAGGTCTCTAACCCAGAACATTTTATTTCTTCAGTCATCATTATCCCCTCAGCAGTCATAAACCTCCATTCTCCTTGATCCTGATGTCTTCTCATTCTCAGGGAAACATGTTCTCGGGAGCCATATTCATCAACCTGGCCCTCGGGTTGGATCTTTATGTAGCTATCATCATCCTATTGGTCATCACAGGGATCTTCACTATTACAGGTGAGTCCTTCAGCCTCTGCTGGGTGTTCTCTATCTGACTCACTGCACTCTAGGCCCCTGGACTCCTCAAGGCACTACCTGCCACATGAGGCCTGATTGAATAAACTTGAGGTGTTTAGACTGGAGGAAAGAAGCCTTAGGGGGCCCATGATCCCTAACTTCAAGCATTTGAAAGGGTGTCCTGGAGAAGAGGGATTACATATGTTTGTTTTGCTTTGACCCTCAAGGCAGAACCCAAAGTAATGAGTGAACAGTATGAAGAGGCAAATTTGGGCTGAATGGATGAGAGAACTTTGTAACTGTAAGAGCTGCCCCAAGGTAGGACAAGCTGCCTCCAGAGGTAGTGAGTTCCCCATCACTGGGGACCTTCAAGCAGAGATTGCATAATCACTTGTCAGAGGTATTATCATAGGTATTCTTTGGGGACCTGGGCCAGGCTAAATGGCCACTGAGGCTCATTGCAGCTCTGAGATTTTGTGCTTCTGTTACTAAGGTAAGGAAGAAGGAATATAGTCTAAAATAAGATAGCAAAAGGCCTGGGTTTGACTGTTGGTTCTGCTTTTGTGAGATGTTGGGCAAGTCATGATCCTTCTCCAAGCCAGAGTTTCCTCAACTGTAAAACAAAGGTTGTAGAGCTGGAAGGGACTTCTGAGATCATCAAGTAGCAGTCCTATGGGCCTATGCTGCAAGGAGACAGCACCCATTCATCTCCCATCTGTGACCTGGGCAAAGCCCAACCCAAAATAATGCAGCTGCAGGCCTAGTTGCTGGGACCTAAGCACCTGTGGGTTGAAGAAGAGGGCCAAAAAGCCAGGGTCAAGAGTTCCACTTCTGGGAGCCAAGATGACAGAGTAAGAAGTAAGTTGCTCTTACCATACTTTATTAACCTCTGAAAGCCCAGAAAATATCACCACAGAAAAACCCCGGAACAGCTGAATCAGAAGAAAGACTTGGTGCAGCAGTCCAGTAGCCCAAGTAGCTTGAGGGATTAATGGGAAAGGCCCCTCTTGCCCTGAGGGAAGGGGGAGCAGTACAGCATGGGAGGCATCCCAACAAGCTAGCAGAAAACCCCAGCTCAGCATAGCAGGGGGAGATCTTGAAACCCAGATGGTGGAACAGGCAAAAACCAGCACCGGGATCCCTGGGTACCTCAGTATAGTCAGGAGAACCAGTGGAAACTGGCTTGGAAAACCACCATATGCCTTGGTGTTCTACAGCAGTCAAGTCTCCCAGTGCCTCAGCAAAACTCTGGGAAGTGCTCCAAGGGGGAAAGCCCCAGATGGAGAAACATCCTGCAGCAATGAAACATCCATCTGAAAGGAGCCGAAGAAAGCAAAAGGAGGGAAAGGAAAGGCCTGAGTGAGCAGGCAACCTCCAGGGCCCAGACTATCCAATCTTACCCCAAGAGTTCTAGTGTTGCTGATTCCAGCACAATGCCAGGTAACCTGCCAGAACCCTACAGTCTCCACCTGCCAGCAGTTGAAGCCCTAGCACACAAAGCCAATAACCAGGCTCCCAGCACAAGAAGCTTGGATCAGTGTCCCCTGCTCCCCAGCAGGAGACCTTGATCTTTTTAAAGGCCAGGAAATAAACAAACACCATGAGCAAGAAGAAATATACCATAGATTCTTATTATGGGGACAGTGATGATCAAGGCAGAAATTCTGAAGAGGACAACACAATCAACAAACCCACATCTGGAACCTCAAAAAAGAATACGAACTGAACTGAAACCCAAAAAGCCTACTTGGAAGAGCTCAAGAAGGATTTTAAAATTCAAATAAGAGGTAGAAGAAAAATTGGGAAAAGAAATGAGAGGTCTGCAAGAGAGAGAAAAGGAAGGACAAAAATTAGCTACAGAAAACAAATCCTTAAAACATACAATTGGCCAAATGGAAAAAAAAGGACACTGAATAAAACAACTCCTTAAAAAGCACAATTGGCCAAATGGAAAAGGAGACAGAAAAACTCACTGAAGAGAACTCCTTAAAAAATAAAATGGGCCAAATGGAAAAGGAGGTACAAAATCTAATAGAAGAAAACAATTTGTTAAAAATTAGAATTGAGCAAATGGAAGCTAATGACTCTATGAGAGAGCAAGAATCAGTCAAACAGAAACAAAAGAATGAAAAAAATAGATGAAAATGGAAAATACTTCACTGATAAAACAAGTGACCTGGAAAATAGATCTAGGACAAACAATTTAAAAATTATTGGTCAACCTGAAAATCACAATGGAAAAAAAAGCCTGGACAGCATCTTTCAGGAAATCATCAAGGAAAATTGCCCTGAAGTCCTAGAACCAGAGGGTTAAAATAGCCATAGAAAGAGTCCACTGATCATCTCCTGAAAGAGCTCCCAAATTGAAAACTCCAAGGAATTTAGTAGCCAAATTCCAAAACTATAGGTCAACTTTGAAAGAAACAATTTACGTATTATGGAACCACAGTCAGGATTACACAGGACCTTGCAGCTTCTACATTAAAAGACCGTAGGGCGTGGAATACAATATTCCACAAGACAAAGGAGCTTGGATTACAACCAAGGATCAATTACCCAGCAAAAATGAGCACAATATTTCAGGGGAAAAGAAGGACATTCAACAAAATAGGGGACTTCCAAACTTTCCTGATAAAAAGACCAGAGCTCAACAGAAAATTTGATCTGCAAATACAAGACTCAAGAGAGACATAAAAAGGGAAACAGGACAGAAAAAAACAACAATATGTTATTAATAAGGGCAAATTGTTTACATCACCAGAAGGGAAAATGACACTTGCAATTTATTTTTTTTCTTTTAGGCAATTGGGGTTAAGTGACTTGCCCATGGTCACATATATAAGTGTCAAGTGTTTGTCTGAGGCCGGATTGAACTCAGTCCTCCTGACTTCAGGGCCGGTGCTCTATCCACTGTGCCAACTAGCTGCCCCCCACTTGCAACTCTTGAGAACTGTATTATTATTAAACCATTTTAAAGGGATTTACATAGAGGGGGTAGGTGCAGTTTGACTTCGATGTAATTATAAAAAATTCTAATCAAATGGGTTAAATGGATCTAAGTAAGAGGAATCTTATCTGACTAAGAAAATGACTGAGAGAAAAGGAAAGGAGGAGGTAGACAAGGGTAAATTACATTACAGGAAAAGGCACAAAAACCTATTACAGTAGAGGGAAAGAAGGGAGGGAGATGAGCATTCTTTGAACCTTACTCTCATCAGATTTAGCTCAAGGAAGGAATGACATAATCAATTAGGTATAGAAATCTAACTTGCTCTATAGGCTGTAGGAGGGAAAAGTGGAAAGAAAAGGGAGGGGGATAGAGGGGAGGGAAGAATTAGTAAGAATAAAAGGGAAGAAGAGGGAGGGGACTAATAGAAGGGAGGTTGGACTGAGGGAGGTGGTGGTAGTAAACAAAACACTAGTGAGGAGGGAAAGGGAGAAAGGAGAAAGAAAAGCATAAACAAGGGGGAGATAGGAAGGAGAGAAAGACACAGATACTAATCATAACTGTGAATGTGAATGGGATGAACTCTCCAATAAAACGGAAGTGGATAGCAGAATGGATTAAAAACCATGATCCTACAATACGTTGTTTACAGGAAACACATTTGAAACAGGGACACACACACAGGGTAAAGGTAAAAGGCTGGAGTAAAATATATTATGCTTCAGCTGAAGTAAAAAAATCAGGGGTAGCAATCCTGATCTCAGACAAAGCAAAAGTAAAAATAGATCTTATCAAAAGAGATAAGGAAGGAAACTACATCCTGCTAAAAGGCACCATAGACAATGAAGTAACATCATTACTAAGCACATATGCTCCAAATGGTATAGCATCCAAATTCTGAGAAATTCAGAGAGTTACAGAAAGAAATAGTCAGCAAAACTATGCTAGTGGGGGACTCCAACCTTCCCCTCTCTGAACTAGATAAATCTAACCACAAAATAAACAAGAAAAAAGTTAAGGAGGTGAATATAGTATAAGAGCAGGGGTCAAGAATTTAGAGGAATGCTGGGAAGAGACAGGTGTGTATAATCCAAGGCAGCTAGTGAATGTCCACTGAAGGGGATCCAGAAGCATCACATACACGCGCGCGCACACACACACACACACACACACACACACACACGCGCACATGCACACACTGAACACCAGGGTCAACCCAATGGGTCACACCAACCCAATCAGTCCAGGCAATGCAGCATCACACAAAGAGCTTGTGGCTGCATTTAGGGGGCTTGGTTCCACATCCCAGCTCCTCTACCTGAGTAGTTTAAGGTGGGTCAGTATCCTTTTCTGGACTTCATTTTCTTCCTCTGTAAAATAAGTAGGTTGGACAAGGTGTCCCCTGTGGCTCTAAATCTCATGGACACCAACAACTGACAGGTAGATAGGGCTTCACACTGTCTTACACAGCCTCACAGCAACCCTGGGTGAGTTGGGCACTAGAGGTGGGACCATAGATTTGGAACCAGAAGGGACCTTAAAGGTGCTGAGTTTTGACTTCCTCATTACACTGGGGAGTAACAAAGGCTTGGAGAAGTGAAGATACCTGTCCCAAGCCACACAGGCTAGTGCCTAGCACAGAGTAGGTGCTTAATGAATCTATTTATTCAATGGATTCATTCATTCATTCATTCAAATTCAATAGAATTCATCTATTGATGAATTGGTTGATTGATTTGGCAAAGCTCAGATTTCAACCCAGGTCCTTGGACTCCTAATCCACCCTTCTCTTCACTGTATAATACTATTATTATCTTTACTTTTATAGATGAGGAAACTGAGAATCACAGAGTTTAAGTGGCTTGACTTGGGGCACAAAGCTAGTAAGGGCCAAGGGCAGGATGCAAACCCAGGTCTCTCTAGACTTCATGGTCACTGCTACATCTACTACACCGGATCATACCTGATTCCTGGCCATTACAACAGAGAATTGGGTCACGGCTCGGGGAAATCTGAGAGAGAACCAGGGGGACACAGAACCAAAGGACTCTTTGAGTTCAAATCAGTTCAGGCCATAGCAGAAAGCCAGGAGTGTGGGAGACACAAATTAAAGCAGCGATGGTTTCTGTGTTACCACACTGCGCTCCTTCTACTGGAATCCAACGTCCTCATTTCTCTCCTCATCCTTGGCAGGTGGCTTGGCCTCTGTGATTTACACTGATGCCATGCAGGCGGTCATTATGCTGGTTGGTGCTTTCATCCTCACTGGCTATGGTAAGTAAAGCCAGGCAAGGCCAGAGACCTCCCTGGGGAATGGAGGGTGGACCTGGAGCAGTAGGAGGCATTGGATGAGATCCATAAGCCTTCTGTTCCTGGCTCTGTCTGTCTATCCATCTTCTCTGTGGTTTCTATTTCTGTTCTCTGGAAATCGATTTTAGCAGTGAAGGACTCTAGGGAGGACAGGAAGAGTCCACTTTATCATGGAGAGCAGTGTGGTCTAGTAGAGAGGGCACTGGCCCTAGATTCAAATCCCAGCTTTGGCATTAACTCTGATCCTGGCCAAGTCGCTTGCACTCACTTTGCTTCAGTGTCCTTGTAAAATGATAGGATTGGACTTGTTGACCTCTGAAGGTCTTTCAAATTCTACATCTATAATTAGACTGTGGCCTACATGTGGCCTCAACTCCCAACTCTTCCCCAATATACTCTTGTCCCTGTGATGGATTGCTTACTCCACCTACATCCACTTTAGTATTTCAGGGTAATGTTCCCAGAGGTGTGGCCAGCCTCTCTCTGTCTCTGCTCTGCCTCTGCATGTCTCTCCTTCCTTCCCTCTCTCTCTCTATCTTCATCCTAGGGGTAACACTGGTGTTTGTGTGTGTACATGTATACATTTCTGCTATATGCCAATAGAGTTTCTGAGCACCGTTTGTTTCACTTCCCATTTATACTGAATTAGTTACCATGACACCATTAATTTTTAAACATAAAAAGTTTCCTAAACGGCAAGGCAAATGCAACAATCATCATAACATTTACTTGATAAAAGACAAAAGCAAAAATAATAATTTTTAGCCAAGATAAGACAAATTATGAATAACCAAACATCCTCCCAGGAACCTGGGTCATACTTTTACCAGTGCATACCAGTCTCCATATGGAAAATCAGGCATAAGCTTAAAGAAGATTCATTTCCTCCTTATCTTGCAATAGGTATTCACAGATGCCTGAACCTCCTTCGGTGATTTGGAGACCAATTTCCCTTCTGTTATTAATACATTCCTTGTTGGTCATCTGCTTCTACTCAAGGTTTTTGTTAGATTTTTCTTCTTCCTGAGATTTTGGTTACTTCAATTTTTTCTTTTCTTTTCCTCTGTTGTTCACTTTTTGACTCCCTTCCCTTTGATGGCAGTTTCTCTGGGAGCTGGCCCTCAAAGCTGTCTCAATATCCTATCACACTAGGGTTAATTTATAGTTCACTAATCTTTGCCACAGGTGACTTCTGGAAAAATCAGAATTTGTCCCAGTTGTATGCTTTGCTCTTTCCCTTAGATTTAATGGAGTGCCACAAATTCCCTCTGCCCTAAACACCCCCCCCCCACAACACACAATGACATCCTGCCCCCTTGTCTGGTGAAGCTCTGTTGTGGCACCTCTCCTTGATGCTGCCATGATCCCTCTTGCTGCTATCACAACCTGATCAAATTTATTCAGCTTGGCTTTCCTTGGCAGCATGGAGGAAGGTGGTAGAGTGTGTAGTTGAGTTCTGTTGCACTTCTGTGAGTGGGCTTGTGCAGCCTGGCTGCCTGGTGGGAGTGAGGGAGGGGGTGCTAGGTGAGCATGGAATGGGAGTAGATATTAGACTTCTCTATTATTAGTTCATTGAGTTTTTGCCTTGTATGGGTTCTTGGTGCCCTACACACTGGAGACAGATAAAGTTGTTTATCTTTTGCACGTAATTCCTATTTTGGAGAGGTATGAGAGTACCCCATGAAAGTCTAATTGTGAGTTACATAGGCCCTGTTCAGGGTCAGAGTCTAGTTCCCTATACTTTCTGGGTGAGTGGGGGTCCTATTGTGGGACTTCAGAGTGTTCTGTGTGCTGTTGGGTCTTGGCAGTCCTGAGGAAGTGGTCTTGTGCTAACAAAGTCTATAGTAGTTCAGTGGTCTACGATGTAACTTTCTTCTTGTACCTATATCACTCAGTCAAGAAACATTTATTAAGCACTTACTACTTGCCAGGCACTGTGATAAGCACTGGGACATTGTGATGAGAGGTGAACAAACAGGAATGCCATGCTGGAAACTAGCCAGTACTTCAAAGATCTTTAATTTCATTGTTGGAATCCACCTTTCCCCTTCTCCCTATCCTGATGCAGATCACAACTCTTTCATACCTCGGGAGACAATTCATACACACTCCTAGAGCAAAACCATCCAACCTACTACCCCACCCCATGCCAAGAGCAAAAAATCAAGCAAGCAACAAGGATCATCTGGCAAAACAACTAGAGATGAGCTTCTCCGAACGCGGTTCAAGTTCTTAGATGACAAGCACACATCCTCCATCACCAAGCCAGCACTCAAAGGCTTTCTAAATAAGCAAAACTTTCTTTCTTTTTTTTTTTTTGAGTGCTTGTCTCTTTTTATTTTTATATTTTTTCCCAGTTACATATGAAAAAAACATTTACATTCATTTTGTAAAATTTTGAGTTCCAAATTCTCTCCTTTCCTTCTCTCCCTCCCCCCTCATTGAGAAGGCAAGCAATTTGATATAGGTTATACATATGCAGTCATGCAAAATATATTTCCTCATTAGTCATGTTGTGAAAGAAAACACAGATTAAAAAAAAAAGCCAACCCAAGAAAAATAAAGTAAAAAGAAAAGTATGATGCATTCTGACTCAGTCAGTTCTTTCTCTGGAAGTAGATAGCATTTTATATCTTTTTTTAATTAAATTTTTTTTTATTTTTTCCGTATGCTTTTGAGTTGAAAATTTTTCTCCCTTTCCCTCCCCCCCCACCCTCCCCAAGACGGCACACAATCTGATATAGGCTTTATATTTACATACCCATTAAACATATTTTCACATTAGTAAAGTTGTAAGTAAAAATTAAAACCAATACGAGGAACCATCAGAAAGATGAAACAAAACTCAACAGAAGGTAAAAATAAGTGATAGCGATTCGACTTCTATAGTTCTTTCTTTGGATGTGAACAGCATTTTCCATCCCGAGGCCTCTGGAAATGTCTTAGATCCTCATAATGCTGAGAGAGGTTCAGTTTAACAATCTTAGTCATTGCATAACGTGGCTGTTATTGTGTACAAAGTCCTTTTGGTTCTGCTCACTTCACTCAGCATCAGACCATATAAGTCTTTCCAGGTTTTTGTGAAGTCAGCCTATTCATCATTTCTTATAGCACAATAGTATTCCATTACATTCATATACCACAACTTGCTCAGCCATTCCCCAATGGATGGGCATCCTCTCAATTTCCAATTCTTTGCCACCACAAAAAGAGCTGATAAGCAAAACTTTCTTGCCCTTGCACTTTGGGCTGTTATCATCTTTGCCAATCTGGGGTGACCTCCACTTGACACAGAGGCATTAGAGGAAGATCACAGGGGAGGACTCTTGTAATCCCATATCAGGCACCACACTAGACACTGTTATTGTTGAGCCACTTCAGTTGTGTCCAACTCTCTGCAATCCCATTTGGGGTTTTCTTGGCAAAGATACTGGAGTGGTTTGCCATTTCCTTCTCCAGCTTAACTAAGGCAAACAAGTTTACATGACTTTCTCAGGGTCACCAAGCTAGTAAGTGTCTGAGGCTGGATTTGGGCTCAGGAAGATGAGTCTTCCTGAATCCAAAGCTAGCACTCTATCCACTGGGCCACCTATCAGCCCACTAGGGACACAAAAACAGAAAAGAAATTGTCCCTGCCTTCAAGGAGCTTACATTCTCCTGGAAGAAAATAATGTGTCCACAAGCGAGCATGATACAAGATAATTTGAAGTGGGAAACAAGATGACCTGGATGGGATCAGGAAAGGCTTTGTCCCAGGAGAGGAGTGGGAAGGACAATAGGTCTGGGACACTTATGGATGTTGACATTAATGTACATAGACATAATTATCATGGCCTAAGGACAGGTTCACCTGATATGGCCTATTGGCTCCCAATGCACATACAGAGTTAACTTTTTTTCCTGATTTTTTTAGGTTTTGCAGAAGTGGGGGGATATGAGGCCTTCACTGAGAAGTACATGAAAGCCATCCCATCTGTCATCACGGACCAAAATGTAACTCTGAACCCAGAATGCTACACGCCCAGAGCAGACTCCTTCCACCTCTTCCAGGATCCCATCACTGGTGACCTGCCATGGCCAGGAGTGCTCATTGGCATGAACCTTGTTTCCATTTGGTTCTGGTGTGCAGACCAGGTGAGAGGTCCATAAGAGAGGAGAGGCTTGAGAGCCACTTCACTTTTCTCTATAAAATAGAAAGAATGGGATCATAGACCTAGAGCTGGAAGAAAGCTTAGAGATCTTCTAGCCAAGGCTCCTCCTCTAACAAATAGGGGAACTGAAGCTCAGAGAGGTTAAGTGACTTGCCCAAGACTATATAGCTAGTGAGAGATAGAGGCAGGATTTAAACCCAGGTCTGTGACCCCAAAGCCAGGGGTTGGTCACTGGCAGTACAGCTCAACTCCTTCATTTTTCAGGTAAGGAAACTGGCTTAGAGACCTTAGGGGATTTACCGAAGGTCACCTAGACAGTGTGTGCGAGACATGCCTCATGCCCTCCCTGCTTCACCTACCTCTTAGAAACCCTGGCTTCCTTCAAAACTCTGCTCAGGGTCTTTCCTGGCCCTACTGTTGTTAACTGCTCTCTACTGGAAATTCCTTTGGATGTACTCTGTCCTTCCTCACTTGGGTCGATCCTTTTAGAAGAATGGAAATTCCTTGAGAACACAAACTGATCAATTTTCACCTCTCTATACTCAGGGACTGGCACATAGTGGGCATTTCATTAATTATTTTTTGAGTTAAGATGAGTAGAAGAGGTGAAATAGAACCCAATATGTTCTCCTGGGTAAGTCACCTAACCTGAATTGCTTCCCCCCAAAAAGGAAATTTGAACCCAAAGGTGACTCCAAAGCCAGTGCTTTTTTCATGCTACCTGAGAAAAAGATGATGTCCTTGTTTGCACAAAGAACTTTCTTCTTTTCAAAGTGTTTCCCAATTATTTTTTCAATCGAATGTCATAAAAATGCTTTGAGGGAGGCAGGGGAAGAATGAAGAGTCCCATTTTACGAAGAAAAAAGCTAAAGCCCACAGAAGGGCAATGACTTGCCCAAGATCACATCAAGCCAGTGAGTGAGTGGTGGAGCCAAGCGCCCAAACATCAGTACTTCAATATCAAACTGGTAATGACACTAAAAAGTCAATAGGACCAGAACACAAAGTGAGAACAGAAGGAGGGAACGGAGCCGCTGAAGCACTGACTCACAGCATCTCAGAGCTGAGTTGGCCATCATTCCAGTCTTTGCTTGAAGGCCTTCAGTGATGGGGCTTTATCTACCTCCTGAGATATCCCACTCCTCTTTTGAAAAGCTCTAATTTCTAGGAAACAAGCAGACCAATCACTAACAGACCTCAAATTCTTATTTTCAAAGATCTATTGCTCTTAACTTCCTCAACTTCTGTTTTTCTTTTCCTCTCTCCGTTTCCCCTTCCCTCTCTCATCCTTTCTCACTTTCCATTTCCTTTATCCCTCCTTTTCTTCTTCTCCTCCATTCCTCTCTTCCTTCTCCTTTCTTTCCTCTTTCCCTTCCCTTACACACACACACACACACACACACACACACACACACACACACACACACATCTTTTTCTTTTCTTTATCTCTTCTTGAACACATACTTTCATTTATTTATTTGTTTGTTCAGTTACAGTTCAAATTTCATGCAATCATGCATTTAGAGACCTCTGAGATCCTCTTCATCTTGCAGAGGGAAAACAGGTCTAGAGATGGGAAAGGACTTGCCCACTGTCACACAGTTAAGAATCCAAAACAAAAAAACTGTCACAGAATCATGACTATAATTCCCCACGGAGTCAGACTCCTTCAGCTCTGAAGTCTCCCTCTGATTAAAGCAAGAAGAGTTGTTTTGTGATGTTTCATGGGTATCTTTCAGGATATTAACCTCAAGACATTAGAAATGTGTCCACAATCACTCGCAGCTTGCCTCAATGAGCCAGTATGCATCAACCATACATTAATTCATCTAAAATCTTCTTTAAACTGTATTTTGGCCAAAACTCCATGGTCCCAAAAATATTTCCTAATTTCCCTTCCCTATCTTGAATCTAGGCTTCTTTTTCTGCACAAATACTATGAAAGGTAAGGTCCTTGTTCTTCTTTCCCTCCTCCCATCATTTGCTCCGTGATCTGCCCTTTGCTATGTCTCCCTAGCAGCAGCAAAACTCAGAAGATCATAGAGTCCAATACCTTCCTTTTACAGATGAGGAAACATTCAATGATCAGATGCTCAGAGACATTCCAATATTTGCTTGAGGTCACACATGAGTTGTTGAAAGAGATGGGATTTGAATCCAGACTCTCTGACTCCAGAATCAATTAGTTAATCAATAAACATTTATTATGTACCTACTATGTGCCAGGAACTATGCTAAGCATTCATGGTACAAAAAGAGGCAAAACCCACCAACTTCAAGGAGCTCACAATCTAATGGGGAGAGATAATATGCAAACAACTAGACACAAACAAGCTTTATACAGGACAACTGGAGATTATTAACAGAGGCATCTTAGAAGCCCGGGATTAAGGGTGTTGGGGAAGGCTTCCTGTAGAAGGTTAGATTTTAGTTGGCATTTAAAGGTCAGGGAGGTTAGTAGGAGAAGGGGGAACATTCCAGGCACAAGGTATGGGCACAGAAAATGCCCAGAGCCGAGAGATGGAAGGTCTTGTTCATGGGACAGCCAGGAGGCCAGGGTCTTTGGGTGGAAGAGAACATGGGTGAGATGTACAATGTGAGAAGACTGGAGAGGTATAAGGGGAGTAGTTATGAAGGGCTTTGAATACCAGACAGCATTTTGTATATGACCCTAGAGGCAATGGGGAGCCACTGGGGTTTATTGAGTAGGGGGTGACATGGTTGCATCTGTACTTTAGGAAAATCACTTTAGTGGGTGAATGGAGGATAGACCAGGGAGAAATTTGAGATAGGCAGAGCCTTCAGCAGCTACTGCAACAGTCCAGGCATGAGGGAGTGAGGGTCTGCACCAGAGGGGTGCAGTGTCAGTGGAGAGAAGGGAGTGAATTTGAGAGATGGTGCACAAGTGAAATTGACAGGCGTTGGCACTAGCTTGGATATGGTGGGTGAGAGAAAGTGAGGAGTCTAGGATGGCTGCTAGGATGTAAGCCTGAGGGACTGGGCACAGAGTGTTGTCCTCCACAGCAGTAGGAATGGAAAGATCAAGTGAGGGTTTTTTTTTTCAGGATAAAGGAGACCTAGGCATGTTTGTAGGCAGTAGGAAATGAGCCAGTAAACAGGGATTGATTATTGAAACAGTGGGGATAACAGAGAGAGGAGATAATGTATTAGAGGAGATGGGATGAAGTGGGGTCACTTGAGCAGGTAGAAGGGTTAATGGGTAGAGGCTTAAAGTAGGAGTGGCAGAAGCCATCTAAGTGATAGGAGATGAAGTAGAGGGGAAAAGGGGGAGCTGAGTGAATGACTTCCATTTTATTTTATAAAATATGAGGTTCTTAAGGTAACGTCCTCATCTTAGAGGCTGGGGGAAGAGGGGCCATGGGAGATTTGAGGAGTGATGAAAAGGTTTGGAAGAGCCATTGTGGGGAGTAGGAGCATGAGTTGGTAAGGGCAGTATAGGATTGCCAAGCATCAGTGCAGGCCCAGTTGAGGTTGTGTAACTGGGTCAGAATAGCAGCACACATGTAGGAGGGGCTGCAAGGTGGGAGTGATCTGTGGCTTGGGCTTGGCAGAGCAAACTCAGCAAAATCATGCTTTCTCTGCCATGAAACATTTCTCCCCTCTGCTTCAAAGCGATGTGTTGATCAGCATAAACAACAACAACAACGAACCTCACTGCCTGAGGGGTCATACAGTCCAAATGCCTGTCCACAGCATTATCAGTAGGTGGCTGTCCATCTTCTGATTGAATCTCTCCTGTGGTGGGGAACTCACTACCTATGTCCTAGGCTGTCCATTCCAGTGCTGGAGTGCCAGACAGCTCTAATTCTATAACATTCTTTCCTGCACTGAGCTGAAGGCTAACTTCCTAGTACTTCTACCGATTGCTTGAAATGAGAACCAGGTCACATCCCGCTCCTAGGCAGGAGCATCTTTTAACTTGAGCAAGAGAGTCCTGGGGCCCTGCACCATCCATAAGTTCTGTTCCCCTGGCAGGTGATGTGCAGCGGTGCCTCTCAGGGAAGAATATGTCCCACGTGAAGGCTGGTTGCATCTTGTGTGGCTATCTGAAGCTGCTGCCCCTCTTCCTTATGGTGATGCCCGGTATGATCAGCCGCATTCTGTACCCAGGTAAGTCCTCTCTGCCATTTGTTCACCCTCAGGCTCTAGGAAATGCTGTGATGGTTCAAATGTTGGCCACACATCTTCTCTACTTTGTGGTCAGTAATGAATGCTATTATCGTGTGTTTCTCTGCAAATCCTTTTCCCTTCAAGATCTCATCTTGGGGTGTGAACTATATTCAGGGGAACTTGCCATTTGGGAGGATGTAGCAATGAGGCAGAGCACTAAACTTGGGGTTAATGAGCCCCAGGTTTGGGTCTAAGCTTGTAACTTAGCCATGTGATTGCCACTTATCACCTTGCAAGTCACTCTCGTCATTGGGCCTGAACTTCCTAATACATGTAATGAAGGGGTTGGCCCCTTTTGGTTCTAGATCTGGTTCTGGATCTAGATCCATATGGTACTTTCAGGTTGTGAGGGAACCTCGATTACCTGGAACTCTTGTGAAACAGGATATTTGGGATAATAGAATTTTCAGTCTGGTGATGAGTAGCACAGAAAACCCCTGTTGTTTCTACTCTCATATTTCTGAAGTTCTGACTTCCCAGCTTTAGTTAGGAGGAGTTCAGGGGCACAACTACGTTCTCTCAAGCTGATTGAAGATCATGTTGTGGGAGTGCCATGACTCCTAACTGCAAGTTCCCAAGACTTTTTTTTTGAGTACAATTTAGAGAATGGAGAGAAGGAAGTAAATATGCATTTATGGAGTGCCAGTATGTGCCAGGTTTTGCACTAAGCCAATATTATCTCATTCAATCTGCACAACCCTGGGATATATGTACTTTTATTTTGTAATAATTTTACAGTTGAGGTAACTGAGGCAAACAGGTTAAGTGACTTGCCCAACATCACAACGAGTCTTCCTGAGTCCAGGACTAGCAGTATATCAACTGTGCCAGTCCACAGATAGAGGAAGGGGTTACTCCTGGCATTGTGATGTAGCGATACTGCTGTTCCAGACCTTTAGTGTAGTCTCACTGGTTATAGCTCTCTCTGCTGTTTGAAATCCCACCCTGGACCCTCTGAATCCAAACCCCACGTTTATTCTGTTTTATTATGTTGCCTCCACACTTTGAGAGGTCATTCAATTATCTCTAATAGGACGTTGAATGCTGAGTAATGAAATTGAAAAAAAATCCTAATACCAGAAAATAGATAATAAGACATATCTCCTTCAAGGCTATTAGAAGTCTAAAATTTGCTCCAACTGCCATTCAGACTTCCAAGACCAGACATCCAGTAAACATATTAAACTGAACATGTCTAAAACTTAGCTCATTCTCTTTCCCCTTAAATCCTCCCTGCTCCTACCTTCCATATTACCACCAAGGGCAACACCTTCCTCCCAGTCCCTGAAACTTACAACTTACGGATCATTCTGGATTCCTCACTACCTTCCCCCTTGCCAATGTCTGTTGATTTCACCTTTGCAACATTTCTCAAATATACCCCTTCTCTCCTCTGATGCTGCCCCTACCCCAAGGCAGACCCTCATCACCTCATGCCTGCACTATTGCAGTAACTGCTGGGGAGGTCTGCTTTCCGGAAATCTCTCCCCATTCCAATCCATCCACAAAATGATTTTCCTAAGCCTCAGTTCCAACTCTGTCACCCCTTACTCAATAAAATCCAGTAGCTCCCTCTGGCCTCCAGGATCAAATACAAATGCTCTGTTTGGCATTCAAAGACCTTCATAACCTCCCCCCTCCTCCCTGTCCAGTCTTCTTACACCTAATTCCCCTTCATGTACTCTTCGATCCACTGACCCTGGCCACCTGGCTATTCCATGAACGAGATCCTCCATCTCTTGGCTCTGTTCATTCTCTCTGGCTGTTCCTTCATGCCTGGAACTCAACCTACTGAGCTTCCTGACTTCCTTTAAGTCTCACCTAAAGTTCCACCTTCTACAGGAAGCCTTCCTCAATAGCCCTTAATTCTAGTGCTTTCCATTATTTATTTCCTATTTGATTTTCTTTGTATCTATTTGTTTGCATGTTGTCTCTCCCCATTAGGCTGTAAGCTCCTTAAGGACAGAATGTATTCTGCCTCTTTTTGTACTCCAAGTGCTTCATATAGTGGCTGACATATAATGGGCACCTAATAAATGTTGATGGACTGATTGATTGATTAATCAAGGGTTCTTAACTTGGGGGTTTGTGAACATAAAAATACCTCTTTTGGTAGCTCTCTTTCAGTCTGATCATTTTCCTTTTTAATCCTGAAAATGTCGATTTATTTTATACACTTAAAAACTTGTTAAGAAGAAGTCAAAGGTGCCATCAGACTGCCAAAGGACACTTTCCAAAAGATGAAAAAAGCTGGATCTAAATAAAGAATGTTGTATACATTAACAGATGAAGTCACTTCATCGGATGTTGCTGGATTTTTTGTTCCTTGTTTAACCTTGGGGCAAAGGCAGAAGGTTTTTTTAATACTCAGAAATGATTGTGATGTAATCAACCAAATGACAAGCATTTATTTAGTGCCTACTATGTGTCGCTTACTGTCATTGTTCTGGGAATACGAACACAAAAATAAGTCACTGTCTTCAATGGGTACAACAAGGAAAACAATAAAATATGCTTTTAAAAATGTTTTTAAGAGTGAAGACACCCTGAGAGAGTTCAATGAAAAAGTGGGGAGCAGAGGAATTGGGTTTTGTGCCTTATTGGATGTTAGGCCAGCTCTCAAATTTGGGCTCTTGTCTCAAGAGGGGTCACTTCTACGTGGGAGCTGCCAGGCAGAATCTCCTGGCCCCAGGTGAAGCCCATTAGCCACTGCCAAGGCAGACACTAAGAAGCTCCCTTTCCAGCTACCATACCAGTGGGTTTGTATCTTGTCATTGCTTAGACTCTGGCTGACAGGAATTCTCTCTGGTTCTTTCCGCAGATGAAGTTGCCTGTGTCGTGCCTTCAGAATGTGAGAAACATTGTGGCGCCAGAGCAGGCTGTAGCAACTTAGCGTACCCAAAGCTTGTGGTAGAGCTTATGCCCAATGGTTAGTGTCCCTGTAGGGTCTTTGTGTCACCTGCCATAGAGTGTCATGAGCAATGATTTGAGTGGTCTCTAACTGGTATTGGAGTCCTTTCTCACAGAGTCCCAGGGTTGGCAAGGACCTCAGCGATCATCTATTCCAATCTGGTCTTAAGAATCTCCTCTACATTATATCCAACAACGGGTCACTCAGTTTCTTAAAAACTTCTAATGCTAGCCCATTCAACTTTGAGTTAAAGCCAGTTGTTAGCCAATTGTTTTTCTTAACATGAAGCTATGGGCCATAAAATTCCAATCAGTAACAAAAATCATTGAGAACAAGCTCCAAGCATATTCGATTTATTAGGGATACTGGTGGTCTCTAATTAAGTATGTCCAAGATCTTCCACATGATCAGGGTTCCCTCCCCTTATGTGCTAGCTACTTTTATATACTTGGAGAGCAATAAAACTAGAAGGAGAATATTAGAATTCATTGATTGGTCAATTCCAGAAGTGGGGAAATCTTATACTTGGCTAAGGGAAATGTCCATCAATCATAACCACTTTGTCAACACAACGTTCACAGGTCACGAGCCCTTCCACACGTCATCTCATCAAAGGCCATAAGACCTTTTTGGTAATATCTTGAGGCCTTCCTCAAATCATAAGATGCTAGTGTTTATACAATGGTATCTGAGGGTCCAAGGAAGTCGTGGGTTTGAAGAAAAGGTCACAAGGGAATGGACAGCAGTGCTTCACAGAGGTGAGGTGTATAGTATCAACAGATGAACCTTATTACACCACGTTATAGACTCGTTAGCGGGGAGGTAGTGCAGCTATTACATTTTTAACTAACAGTATGAATCTCACTGATAAGTACAAGTAATATAATCATCAACATATGATGGATTAATTGTTCATAACTCTTGTCATAACTACATTAACATTTATAACTAACTTAAACAATTCTACTCTGTTTAAATAGCTAATATAATCACTGATACCCATCAAATCACAATGAACTGAGTAAATGTGGATTAGTTTGAATAGAGGGTATCAAAATTATCATCACAAAACCTAATTCTGCCTTCTTGTAACTTCCACCCATGGCTCCTGGTTCTGCCTTCTGGGGTCAACCTTAACAAGACTAATCCCTTTCTTTTATGATTGGCCTTCTAATAGGGAAGCACAGATATCATGTCCTCTCCCCTACCACTCACTGCCTTTCTTGACAGCCTTACGATGAATTTTAGCTTGTCTCTTTGAGGGTAAGTTATTCTCCCGTACTTTCAAGGAGACCTGAACCCAAGGTGTAAGTTCACAACTTGCAGACACTGACCAGCTGTAAGACCTTGGGCAAGTCACTTAACCTCTGTCTGCCTCATTTGAACCAGATGGCCTCTGAGGTCCCCTTCTGGTCTCAATCTATGATCCCATGAGCCCTCAGGTGAACCCAGAAGGTCTGGTATGATTTACTTATCTGAAAACAGTAGAAAAAAGATCAGCATCCCCATAAATTCATCTAATCATAGAGACCAGAGGACTAGAGGTCAACCAGATCATTTCCCAGACATGATGTCAAAGTGGACTCCTAAGAGCTGACCATGATTGCCTGGCTAATAAAGCGAATGGAGTTCAGATTGTATAGATTTCTGGACCTTAGAGATCACTCAGTCCAAGCCCTCATTGACAAGATAAGGAGTGAAGCTCAGAGACGGGCAATGACTTCATGACAATCATGTCTCCCATTTCTCCAAGACTTTGCAGTCTACAAAGTAGTTTCTTCCCAAATAACCGTATGAAGCAAGTAGCATAAGCATGATTTGCATGATTAATCCCATTTCACAGAGGATGAGGCCAAGGTTCAGATATGTGAAAGAACTTTTCTAGTCTCAGACAGCTAGTAAGGCAGAAGGGCTAGTATTAAAATCCAGATGTCTGCTATGTCTAGAAGGTGCCCTGTCTCTGGAGTCATTTTTCAGTCATCAAACTCATCTGAGATTATTCCAGGGAATTTCAAAATAAAGTACAAGGATGACTCATATCGAGGTTTCAACAAATGTATAAACACTCAAGTTGTGTGTGTATTTATTCATTTATCAATCATGTCTGACTCTTAGTGACCCCAATATTGTTTCCTTGGCAGAGATACTGGGGTGGTTTTCCATTTCCTCTTCCAGCTCATTTTTTAGCTGAGGAAACTGAGGCAAACAGGGTTAAGTGACTCGTCCAAGGTCACACAGCTATTATGTGTCTGAGGTCAAATTTGAAGTCAGGAAGATGAGTTTTCCTGACTCCAGGCCTAGCAATCTATCCACTGTGCCCCTCAGCGGCCCAGGTACCCGAGGTAGCAAATGCAAATTGAGTATGAGTCAGCTCTTGTTTTGTTGGCTCTGATCTTCTATGTGCTATGGTCCCTTCCAATCTTGCCATTCCATATTCTGAGGTCCCTTCCAGGTCTGACATTCTCTTTCTAATGTCTGTCTTAGCTCTGCCAATGTCTCATCTAAGACTCTACCAGCTCTGACATTCTGTGCTTGAATTGTTCTCAAAGGTTCAGAAATTAGGGAAGGACATTATAAAACCATGGATATTGGCTCCTAAGTGCAGAAGAAGATAATTTCCTCTTTTTCTGGTTGTTGTTCAAGGACTTCGGGGATTGATGTTGTCAGCTCTGTTGGCATCACTCATGAGCTCCCTCACCTCCATCTTCAATAGTGCCAGTACTCTGTTCACCATTGACATCTATACCAAAATCCGAAAGCAAGCATCGGAGAGAGAGCTCCTACTAGTGGGAAGGTAACAGCTAATAATAATAGCTAATATTTATACAGCACTTTGAGGTTTGTAAATGGATCTACATGATTATCTCATTTGCTTTTCATAACAACCCTATAAAGTAGGTGCTATTAACATTATCATTTGACAGATGAGGAAATTGAATCTGACAGAGGATGTGTGGTTTTTCAAGGGTCACATTACTAGCCAGTGTTTGAAGAAGGATTAGAATTGAGGTCTTCCTGAATCTAAGTCTAGCACCCTGTCCACTGCTTCACCTAGCTGACATAGGCCTGTGAACATCCTGGCCAGGGTGTGCTGGAATTCTCTTCCCTAAAACCTATGCATCTTATAAGTGGTAAAGAACAACAGGATGGATGGCCTTCTGGGTAGAAGAAGTAGACTAGCAAGACCTAAGAAGCCATGTTTCTCATGCACAGCTAAATTATAGAAAGCATAGCATAAGATTTCTTAGCCCTAAAAATGCAAATAATAACAGATTCCAGTCAAAATTCAATGTACACATATTAAGCACCTAATATATGCAAGCTACTCTTCTGGGTTCTAGCAGATAGAAAACAAAAATTAAAAAAAAAACAGTTCTTGCCCTCAAAGATCTTCTGTCCTGCTGGAGGGGTACACTATATACCCAGACAAGGAAATAAAAAGTATTTTAAAAAGTTATTTCAGGGGGAAATCAAGTAACCCTTCATGGAGGAAGGTGCATCTAAGCTGGACTTTGAAGGAAGCTGGGGATTCTACAAAGTGCAGGTGGACCAGTAATACAAAGGCATAGAGACTGGGCATAAAATGTAATGTGTACAGAGTACCTAGCCAGCCAGTTTGATCCAAATAGAAGGTGTGCAAGGGGAAATTATGAAAAGTAGGTGGAAGGCAGATTGTAGAGGGCTTTAAAAATGCCAGAGTGAAAATTTTATATTGGATCCCAGAAGCCAGAGGCAGCTAGTGAAGACTTCTATTAGTAGGAGGGAGTGCAATGGTCAGATCTGAGCTTTGGGAATGTTGGTTTGGCTGCTGTTTGGAGTATAGTTTGGAGTGGGGAGAGACTTTGAGGCAGGGAGACCAAATAGAAGGCTATTGCCATAGTCCAAAATGAAAGGGAATGGGGGTCAAACTAGGCTGGTGGTAGTCTCAGCAGGAAATAAATGGGAATACATTACCAATAAGGAAATTTGTTTTACCTGGTTGTGCATGTATAACATAGATCAAATTGCTTGCCATTTCAGAAGGAGAGAGGAGGTAAGGAAGAGAGGGGGGGAATTTGGAACTCAAAATTTTAAAAATTAATATTAACAATTATCTTTATGTGTAATTGGGGAAATAATTTTATTTAAAAATTTCAAATCATTTTAAATGATTTTAAATGATATTGAAGGAGCAGCAAGTCTTGGCAACTGATTGCACGTAGAAATCAATGAGGAGGGAAATCAAGGGTGACCCTGAGATTGCAAGCATTGAGGACCCCACGGATGGTGGCGCCTTAACAGAAACAGGGACGATTTGGATCATAGACCAAAGCATTTCAGAGCTGTGGTAGAGAAATTCTGAGATTTTCAAGTCCAACCTCCTCATCTTTTAGATGGGGAAATGGATGCCTTAAGTGGTAGGACAACTTGACCAAAATTACACAGTTAATGAATAGTAGTGCTTGGATTTGAACTCAGGTCTCTTGATCCCAAATGTATTTTTTTACGGACTCACATATTTGGATTTTTCAGAATGTTTTTAAGATGTTCCCTTAGGAACTTCTAAAGTATCTTTGAAAAATCCCTTCCCTTGGGAATAAGCTAGAAGCCTTCCCAGTAAGGAGTGAAGCACAGATGTTCATTATCACCATTATTATTTTATATTATACTAGAAATTGTAGTTATAGCAATAAGACAAGAAAAATATATTGAAGGAACAAAAATCGGCAATGAAGGGGAAAAACTATCATTCATTGTATATAATATGATGTTGTACTTAGAAAACCCTAGAGAATCATCTAAACACTAGTTGAAATAATTAACAACTTGAGCAAAGTTGAAGAATATAAAATAAGCCCATACAAATCACCAGCATTTCTATCTATAACCAACAAATTGACCCCAGGCTCAACACTTCATGACTTGTGCCACCTAGCTGTGAGAAGAGAAGATGGAGAAATCAGTAACTTGAATATGCAACAACAATAACAAAAATGAAAAGAAAACCCTTGAGGAATGTGTTCCAGGATAGAACAGCAAGTGTAACGTCCCTTCCTTCCCAGGGGATCTCTCTGTACCTTCAATGAGCTTGCTGGGAGCAGCTCCCCTTCCTCCTGAAGTTTACAATTTTCTTTTCTCACAACCAACCCATGAGTAACATAGGGGAAGCACTGCTATCTCTACTGTGTGGATGCAGAAATCAAGATGCAGAGAAGGCAAGCCAGTTGCCCAGGGTTACCCAGCCAGGAAGTATCACAACAGCAATAAAACTCGGGTCTTTGGCCTCAGAGTCCAGAGCTCCTGCCCCCAAGTCAAACTGCTGGCTGCCTGTTAAGTTGTATGGGAAGAAAAGATGCTGGGGAAGCAGTGTGGTGCAACGGGAATAACATAAGCTCTGGAGTCAGAGAGCCTGAATCTGAATCCTGCTTCTACCACTTGGTGTGTGACCTTGATCTTTTGCCTTGTTTCCTTCCCCCTCAAATGAAGACTCAGTCGAGATGACTTCTGAGGTCTCTACCCTCTCAGCCTATGATGAGTCAGTGACAAGAACTGTAAGGGAAGAGAATTGTTTGGAGCGGTGATGTATTAAATGTGGGGAGAAAAGGAAGAAGGAGAAAATGATAATTCTAAGGTTCAGAACATGATTGAGAAGAGAATGAGGGTGTGTTTATTGAGAATTCAACATGAAGCCTCATAGGTATTTAAGAGGAAGTCAGGCAGCGCCCAGGAAAGATAGCTTGACTGTGTGGAGAAGGGGAAACTCATCTTCATTCCTTCCCCTTATTTCCTTAGTCCCTACCACCAGTAATATTATTAGTCATTCAATGAAAGCTCCCTCCCAGACTAATATTGTTTTGGTGGAAAATTAAGCCATCTTTTGTCTCAATTCTTTCCTAGCCCTTAGTTGTCAAATGGGTGTGCCTCAGACAAACTGAGACCTGGGAAAGATCTTACTTTAGAAATGCTAAGGTCATCTACTACATCCCAGGCATCATCAGTTGTCCTGACTTTTATCTTGCCATTGAACTTAGATGACTCTAGAGGAGACAGTGAGATTGACGACTTTGTTCAACGCTGCCTGACTTAAATCCAATTTGAGCACCAATCAAGACATCACTCTTGTGATGTTATTGGGCCTCTTCATGAATGAAGGATGAACAACAGCAACAACTACGAGTAATACCTCCTCCTCAGCCTCTCCCAAATCCTACTTTCCCTTTTCTAACTCTTATGATGTCAGGGTCTGTTGGAGGACTTTCCAATACAAGGCTTATGATCTCATGGGAAGGAAGAAGAATCCTCCTGGAGAATAAATGCCTCCCCCCGCCGTGGAAAAATCCCCAACTTATTCACCCTAGTTATAGCTCAATATCCTACAGGTTGTTCATCATGGTCCTGATTGCCCTCAGTATTGCTTGGATCCCAATAATCCGGGCAAGTCAAAATGGTGAACTCTTCCAGTATATGTCATCGATATCAAGCTACCTTGGGTCCCCCATTGCAGCTGTGTTCCTGCTTGCCATCTTCTGCAAGAGAGCTAATGAGCAGGTGAGTCAGAATGGGGAGAGTCTGGTGTGTAGAGGTGGTAAGTACTCTAATTGACTGGGGAACCCAAAATGCCACTTCCTCCCACATTGATGGACGTCCCCAAATCCAAATTTTTCACAGCAATAAGACATTCTACTAATAACCATCCATTATAAATGTATGTTAGAAAAAGCCCTGAATTAGGAGTCAGGCTTCTTTTTCTTTTCTTTCTTTCTTTTTTTAATTCACAAGCATTTATTTATTTTTTATAATTAATTAATTTATTTTTAGTTTTCAACATTGACTTCCGTAAGATTTTGAGTTTTAAATTTTCTCCCTCCTCCCACTTCTTCCCCCCAGCCAAAGACGGTGTACAGTGTGATGTAGTCTATATATATACATTTATGTTAAGCATATTTTTCCATTAGTCATGATGGGGACATTAGGAACAGTTAGAACTAATGGGAGGAACCACAGGAATGAAGCAATAAAACAAAAAAACAAAGGAAAGGGAGAGCAAATAGTATGCCTCCATCTGCATTCCGACTCCATCGTTCTTTCTCTGGATGTGGATAGCATTTTCCATCATGAGTCTTTTGGAGTTGTCTTAGATCCTTGCATTGTTGTGAAGAGCAAAGTTTATCAAAGTCAGTCATCGAACTATGTGGCTGTTACTGTGTACAATGTTCTCGTGGTTCTGTTCATTTCACTCTGCATCAGTTCATGTATGTCCTTCCAGGGTTTTTTTTTTAATCAGCCTGCTCATCATTTATTATAGCACAATAGTATTCCATTATATTCATATACCACAACTTATTCAGCCATTCCCCATTTGATGGGCATCTCTATTTCCAATTCTTTGCCACAACAGAAAGAGCTGCTGTAAATATTTTTGTACATGTGGGTCTTTTCCCCATTTTTATGATCTCTTTGAAATACAGACCTAGAAGTGGTATTGCTGGGTCAAAGGATATGAACAATTTTATAGTCCTTTGAGCATTGTTCCAAGTTGCTCTCCAAAATGGTTGGATCATTTCACAATTCCACCAACAATGAATGTGTTAGTGTTCCAATTTTCCCACATGTTCTCCAACATTTATCATTGTCCTGTTTTGTCATGTTAGCCAATCTGATGGGTGTGATGTGGTACCTCAGAGTCTTTTTGATTTGCATTTCTCTAATCAATAGTGATGTAGAACATTTTTTCATATGACTATAGATAGCTTGAGTTTCTTCCTCTCAAAACTGCCTGTTCATGTCCTTTGACCATTTATCAATTGGGGAATGACTTGTATTCTTATAAATTCGACACAGTTCTCTATATATTTTAGAAATGAGGCTTTTATCAGAGACATTGGTTGTAAAAATTCTTTCCCAGTTTTCTGCTTTCCTTCTAATCTTAGATGTATTGGCTTTGTGCAAAAATTTTTCAATTTAATGTGATCAAAATTATTCATTTTGCATTTCATAATGTTCTCTATCTCGTGTTTGGTCATAAATTCTTATCTTCTCCATAGATTTGAAAGTAAACTATTTGTTTTTCTAGTTTGCTTATAGTATCAGTCTATATCTAAATCCTGTAACCATTTTGACTTTATCTTGGTATGGGTTGTAAGATGTTGTTCTATGCACAGTTTCTGCCATACATTTTTTCCAGTTTTCCCATCAACTTTTACTAATAATGATTTCTTAACTCAGAAGCTGGAGTCTATGGATTTACCAAATAGTAGATTAGTATAGTCATTGACTGTTGTGTCTTGCATCCCTAACCTATTCCACTGATCCACCACTCTATTTCTTAGCCAGTACCAAGTGGTTTTGGTGATTGCTTCTTTATAATGCAATTTAAGATAAGGTACAGCTTGCCTACCTTCCCTTGCATTTCTTTTCATCAGTTCCCTTGCTATTCTGGACTTTTTGTTTTTCCAGATGAATTTTGTTATTGTTTTTTTTTCCTATCTCTATTAAATAATTTTTGGTAGTTTGATTGGTATGGTGCTGAATTAGTAAATTAATTTAGGTAGAATAGCCATTTTTATTACATTAGCTTGGCCTATCCATGAGCACTAATATTTTCCTAATTATTTAGATCTGACTATTTGTGTGAAGTGTTTTGTAATTGTGTTCATATAGTTCCTGGGTTTGTTTTGGCAGGTAGATTCCCAAATATCTTATAATGTCTACATTTATAATGTCCCTTCTAATTCTGACATTCTTAGAATCACATATGAAAGCTTTGTGTTGTTATTCTGTTGTTATTGTCATGCTTGTTTTCAATAATTCTTCCATCCCACAAAATTTACTTTTTGTGTTTTGTGCTCCCTTGTTCAGAAAGCATCCTGAAACCACTCTCCTTGACTTTCTTTTGCAGGGAGCTTTCTGGGGACTGATATTTGGCCTTGTGGTTGGTCTAACTCGTATGATTGCTGAGTCTGCCTATGGGACAGGCACTTGCATGGTCCCCAGCCAGTGTCCCAACATCATCTGTGGATTGCATTACTCCTATTTTGCCATAGTCCTCTTCACCTTGACAGTTTTGGTTGTACTTGGTATCTCTCTGATGACGAAACCTATTCCTGACATACATGTAAGTATGAGTTTGCCTTTACTCATTGTGAAGTCATACCTTTTTCCTGGCTTCTACCTCAGCTATGAATCCTGAATCAGGAAGACTTTGAGTCATACAGCCCTATATTCTTAGACAAAGGGGCCATTTCAAAACATAGCATGTCAGAGCTGGACTATAATAAGCTGAAATGAAGTAGAGATAAGCATGAAGTTTCACACTTAGGTTCTGAGAGATCAACTTTACAAGTACAAGATGATGAAGGCATGACCTAACAGTAGTTGTTGTGAAAACAAATTGACAGGGGTGTTGGGGGGGGAGTTTAGTGGACTGAAAGCCTATGGGGCAGCAACTTGATCTGGCTGGCAAGAAAGTTGGGATTGTCTTAGCCTTCATTGAGAGAAGCAAGGTATCTGGGACACCTCCTGGAGTACTGTGTTTTAAAAGGATGTGGATAAATTACAGACCATTCTGGGGAATGTGAATAGGGTGCCAGATGGCTTCAAGTTCACGTCCCAAATGTGGGTAGGTTGAAAGGACTGAGAATAGAGATGTAAGAAAAGAGACTACTTGGGTTGAGGTAAGGGAGAGCTGTGGTAGATGTCCTCAGGAATTTAAGGACTGCCACACAGAAGATGAATAAGACTTGTTTTATGTGGCCCCAGAGGGCAAAACCAGAAAAGAGAGAAAGAAGTTGTAAAAAGTTGAACTGAGTCTGGAAGTCAGGAAAAATTTCATAGAACATAAGACATCAAAGCTTGGGGGAGCCTTAGCATGTAAAATGTCAGAACTGAGAGAAAACCTTAAAAAAGAGAATGCTAGAGCTTAAACATGGAAGGTGAGAGCTGGAATGGCTCTTAGAATAGAGAATGTCAAGTCTGGGACAGTCCTTAGAACACAGAATGTGGAGATCTTAGAGGATTTTTAGAACATAAAATGTCATAATTAAGGGGGAACCTTAGAACAGGTGATGCCATAGGTGGTAAGGACCCTAGAAGAGAGAATGTCACAGCCGGGAGAGGCCTTGGAACAGGGAATGTCAAATCTGGGAGAGCCCTTAGAACATAGAATGTGAGCTCTTGGAGGGCTCTTAGAAAATAGAATATCAGACCTAAAAGAGACTTTAGAACATAAAGTGATAGAGTTGGGAGGGACCTTAGAACATAGAATGTGAATCCTTAGAGAGTTCTTAGAACATAGAATGTGAGAACAAGAAGGGCCATTAGAACGTAACCTGATAGATTTGGAGGGCCCTTAGAACATAGAGCTGGGGAAGAATGAAGTCAGACTTCCTGGATGCAAGCAGCAAATGATCTGAGGTTCCATCTGATATCTCTGGTGGAGAGAGGTGCTCATTGCCATGATCACGTGACGAAATCCTGCCTGTGCTCTCTGGACAGCTGTACCGCCTTTGCTGGGCTCTCCGCGATAGCCAGGAAGAACGCATCGACCTGAACCCTGAGTGGTATGGACAAGAGGAAGCTGGAGACCAGGGAGAAGAAGGTGATGTTTAATTGTCCACTTGTCTCTCTGTGTACCCAGCTCCCCTGGGCTCTCAGAAGTCCTGCCTTCCAGCAAGAAATTTTCTTTTTGACAAACTGGCTGAGACAGCTTCCCAGCAATAAGAGACCAATCTGTCCTTAGAAGGACTCAGGGGCCCCTTCTGCATCTGTTCAAGGCCACCTTGAAAATGGAAGCCCCTTTTCCTTTCTGGTGCTAAGGTGGAAACCTCTCTGGTGGCCCAAACTTTGACCAGAATCCTGCGATTGCTGGGGTCCAGAGTTAACCTGGAGGTCTCTTTTCTTTCAGGCTCATTTCCTCCAGTTGCTGCATTTACTAATGTCAAGGAACAGCTATTGGTTTTGTTGGGGTCTGAACACTTGCCAGAAAAGTTGCTTCCTCCCAGTCATTGTTACAGCTCATTATTGCAGGGTACACTGGCTAGCATGCTGTTCTTGGAGTCAGAGAGAGCCGAGTTTGAATCCTGACTCTCAGACCTGTTAGCGGCACGACCTCAGAGAAGTCACTTTATCACTCTGAGTCTCAGATTCCTTATATGCAAAATGGGCATTATAATAGCTGCAGTTCTCACCTCATAGTACTTTTGTGGGACTCAAATGACATCCTGGTAAATCCCTTTGCCAACTTGAAATGTGCTGTAGAAATGCTCATTATGAGCCCATTTCCTCACTGCTTGCCTCTCTTCCCTTTCCTCCAGATGGCCCAGTGGAATCACAAGGGTTCTTCAAGAGGGCCTGGAATGCATTCTGTGGGCTGGAGACAAAGAAAGGCCCCAAGCTGACTGAGGAAGAGAAGGCTGCTCTGCAGAAGCAGCTCACAGACACATCAGAAGAACCCTTGTGGAGAAATGTGGTGAATATCAACGCCATCCTGGTCATAGCTGTGGGCATCTTCTACTATGGTTATTTTGCCTGAGTCTTGCTTGGGGCCTCAGAGCAGGGCCATCTAAGCCTGGACTACCAACCTTCCTCTTCCTTTTTAGCCCTTCACTGAGCTGTGGAAGGGTCACAATCAAGTATAATTGAAAGCTGATGAGATAGATGGGCAAATGCGCAAATCTGGGGTCCCTAAACTGTTAAACAAGACCCATTGATCTTAAATCCTTACAAAGTCATTTCTTAGCTGGGTGGTGGCTGTGTGTGTATGTGTGTGTGTGTGTGTGTGTGTGTGTGTGTGTGTGTGTGTGTGTGTGTGCTTTACTACTACATCTATTTGTGGGTAACAGTGGGGCTTCAGTGTATTTTAACTCTGGAAAACATCTAAAGAGAGACTTGACTGAACATGAAATCATCCCAGGCAACTTACTGTCTTGTGGCCTAGGATGCAAGTTTGTATGAATTCCAGCCTAACACAGTACACATAGACTATTATAGCTTTGAGGGGGAATCTTGTTTTCCTGGGCACAAGGAAAAACCTACATGCCACGCTTGGGACAGAGAGAAGAAAGGGACCCACACAGAAGCCACCAAACTCTTTGGGTCCAGCAGTGTCTCTCCTACAAGGCATCTTTGCAGTCAAAGAGTCTGAGAGATTCTCATTGTAACAGCAACCACTTTCTTGGCATTCATTCCCCTTACCATGGTAATCTAGATCGTAGGATCAGCTCTACACCCAGGACTCATCTCACTGGTCAGTCACTCAACTGGGGTTAAATATTGTGAAAAATCCTGAACTGGAAATTCCTTCCTATATTCTCACATATTTTTGGTGCTCTTCCATCTCCACCTCCATTTTCAAACACCTGTAGCTCTAACAGTAATGCCTCTTCCCAAGTCCCTTGCTTCTTCCTAAACTCTTAGATAGATAGATAGACAGACAGACAGATAGATAGAGATACCTATGTTGAGAGAGAAGAAGAAGGAAGAAGGAGGAGGAGGAGGAGGAGAGGGAGGAAAAGGAAAAGGGGGAGGAAGAGTAGGAAGAGGAGGAGGAGAAGAAGAAGAAGAGGAAGAAGAAGGAGGAGGAGAAGAAGAAGGAGAAGAAAAAGAAGAAAAAGAAGGAGGAGGAGAAAGGAAGATAGAAAGGAAGAGAGGGAAAAGGAAGGGGGAGGGAGGCAAAGAGAAAAAATCCACCGAGACACAGAGAAATAGAATGTATTAAAAAGGTTTCATGGAATGAACTCTCAGATACATGTGGTCTAGCTCATACCTGATCAAGAATCCCCTCTATACCCTCCCTGAATCATTCATCTTCTACTCCATGACATCCAGTGATGAGAAATTCCTTCCTGATCAAAGCAACCTTTTGGACAACTCTAACAATAAGAAATATTTTTGCCTCACATTAAGTCTAAATCTGCCTTTTGGCAACTGTCACCTATCGAACCCAGCTCTGTTCTTTGAGACTCAGGAAGAATGTCTCAGAACCAGTAAGAACAATTCAATTATGAAGTTCTATTAAAAAAAACCCTCCTCATAATAAGATGGGGGAGCTCCCTTCAATATTGTAAATATAGGATCTATGATATCATGAAAATTATTGTCTCAAATAAATCTAACATCCACTAAATACTATGATACTTTTTGATATTTAGATGGCCCTTCTCCATCTCCATGCTCTTATCACTGAGGCTGATGACAGTCCATTCAAGTCTTCTTAGCAATCAAGCAACAAGTATTTATTAAGCATCTAATGTGTGTCGGGTGGTTCTTGTCCACTGCCTCCTATAAATCCTGCATGAAAGGCCCACCGATCCAAGGTGCTAGAGACCTTCCCTCCCCTGGGCCCTTCATCACTCCACAGATGCCCTTTGGCATCATACCTTGCCCTGGATACTTGAGCTGCCCGTTTCCTTTTCCAATCATTCATATCATTGATGACATCTTACACATAATTAATCATGAATTATAAGCTGTAGCCTCTTCACACTCACATTGTATCCTTTTGCTGTGCTTTGGGCCATCAGCAACTTCATACAACATACAAAATAAATACAGAATACCTGGAAGCTGATCTTAGAAACAGTGACATCAGCAATGTGGCTGGGAGAGTGAAGGGGAATCAGGAAAGGCATCCCGTAGGAGGTGATCTTAAGCTAAGTTTTAAAGGAAGCCAGAAATTCTAAGAGTTTGAGGTAGGGAGAGAGAGCATTCCAGGCATGGGGAACAGCCAGTGCAAAGGCAGAGCGGAAATGTTGCATCATGTGCAAGGAACAGCAAGTAGGCCAGTATGGCCGAATCATGGAAGGCACTGAGGGAAGTAGAGTTTAAGAAGACTGGAAAAGTTAAGAAGGATCCTGCTGGCTGTGAAGGGCTTTGTATGCCAAGCAAAGGACTTTATATTTGATCCTGAAGGTAACAGGGAATCACTAGAGGTTATTGAGCAGGGGGGTAATATAGTCAGACCAGCACTTTAAGAAATTCACTTTGGCAGTTAAGTGGAGGATGTATTGGAGCAGAGAGACACTTGAGGCAGACAGACCTACCAGTAGCTATTGCAATAGGCCAGGTGTGAGGTGATAAAAATCTGAAGTAGAGTGGTGGCTGTTTGAATGGAGAAAAGAGGATGTATAAAGAGGTATTGGGCAGCTAGGTGGCACAGTGGATAGAGCACAGGGCCTAAAGTAAAGAGGCCTTGAGTTCAAATCTGGGCCCCGACACTTATTAGCTGTGTTCTCCTGGGCAAGTCACTTAACACTGTTTGCCACAGTTTCTTCATCTGTAAATTGAGTCAGAGAAGGAAATGGCAAATCTGTCCAGTATCTTTGCCAAGAAAACCTGAAATGAGGTCACAAAGAGTCAGACACAACCGAAGTGACTGAAGAAAGAGAGGTATTGTAGAGAAATAAATGAGAAAACTTGGCAATTGATTGGCTCAATGGGGTCAGAGAAACAAACAATGATGCCAAAAAAAGATATTGTATGGAAGTAAAAGACAAAAGTTGGCAATTCATTGGCTCTTTGACTTGAGAGAAATAAAGAATGATGCCAAGGTTGCAAGTCCATGTGACTGACAGATGGTAGAACCTTTGAGAGAATAAGGGAAGTTTGGAAGAAGGGAAGGGGTGAGTGGAAATATAATGAATTCTTTTATGGATGTGTTCAAGATGACTATGGGATATCCAGTTTGAGTTATCCTAAAATGGTTGTTGACATGTGACTTTTGTTCAAGAGAGAGACTAGAACTGGATAAAGAGATCTAGGAATCATGAGCATAGAGGTAATAAAGGATCTGATGAGACCATTAAGTGAGATAGTACAGAATGACAGAGAAGAGGCCTCAGAATGGGTCTTGAGGCATGTCCATATATTGTGGATATAACATGGATGAAGAATCAGCAAAGTAAATCGAGAAAAGGTCAGAGCAGTCAGAGGAGAGTCACAAGAACAGGATCATGAAAACCTGGACAGGAGAGGTTATCCAGGAAGAAAGGGTGACTAATAGTGTCAAATGCTGCAGAGAGATCAAGGAGGATTGGGATCAAGAAGAGGCCATTAGATGTGGCAATTAAGAGAACCTGAATAGCTGGAGATATCTGTTTCTGTCAGTCAACAAAATTTTACTATGTGCATGTACTATGTGCCAAGCACTGCACTAACTGCTGGGGATACAAAGAAAGGCAAATACAGTCCTTACCCTTGAGCAGCTCAAAATCTAACGGGGGAAACACATTCAGGCCACTATATAGAGACAAGTCGGGTAAAATGGATGTAACCTCGCAAGGAAGACATTAGCATTGCGGGAGACCAGGGAAGACTTTTTATTGAAGGTAGGATTTTAGTAGAGACTCAAAAGGAGCTGAAGACCCAGAAGACAGAGATTAGGAGAGAAAGTATCTCAGGCATAGGGTACAGGCAGTGAAAATGCATAGTGGGGATATGGAGTGTTGTCTGAGAAACAGCAAGGAGGTTCATTATAGGTCAACAAAACTGATGACTTAAACAAAAGAAATGAATTCTTACAAAAAAATAAAAACTCAAATTAATAGAACAAAAAAAAATAGAGAATTGAAATAACCCAGTCATAGAACAAAAAAAATAGAAAATTGAAATAACCCAGTGTCAGAAAAAGAAACTGAACAAGTCATAAATGAAAGTAAAAAAATCCAGGATCAAGTGTAATTACAAGAGATTTCTTCAAATATTCAAAGAACAATTCATTCCAATATTATACAAACTGTTTACAAAAATAAGGAGATAAGGGATCCTACCAGACTGTTTCTATAATGCAAATGTGATTTTACTACTTAAGTCAGTGGGGAAAAAATGGGAAAAAATTAAACCAATATCTAATAAATATTGAAATAAATTAAACTAATATTGTCAAAGAGGCTACAGCAACATATCAAAGTGATTATGTCCTATGCCCAGGTTGGATTTATACCAGGATTGTATGATTATTTCAATATTTTAAAAACTATAAACATAAAAAATCAAATTAGTAACAAAACAATAAAATCATATGATTGCATCAATGTGACTAGAAGAAGCTTTTCACAAAACACAACATCCATTTTGGGATCTTTCCTTAAATATGGTAAATAGCATCTATCTAAAACCAAAAGCCAGTGTGAATCTAGTGTATTGCAAATGAACTAGAAGTCTTTCCAATAAGATCAGGAGCAAAGCAAGAAAATCCATTGTCATCATTATCATTAGAGATAGTGTTAGAAGTGTTAGCTCTAAAAACAAGATAAAAAATAAATTGAAGGGATAAGAATAAGCAAAAAGCAAGCAAAATTGTTGCTTTCCATTAATGATATAATGATTTACCATCTACTTAGACATTCTAGAGAGTCAATTAAAAATTAATTGAAATGATGATTTTAGCAAAGCATTAGTGCATATAATTAACCCACACAAATCATCAATTTTTCTTATGTTAGCAATAAAATGCTGAAGGAAGCTATAGGAAGAAATTTTTTTCAAAATAACAATTTTCATCAAACCAGTCTTGACGTTTGTGAGTGTTTGAGCCCAGAAGAGT